CTTTTCCTGTAACAATCTTGCAGCTTTTCTTGGGTATTATCATATGCATCATGTCACTTCACATGTACTTTGCTCCTCCACAAACACTCGTGGACTTGCCCGTGACACACGAAACACATCCCAAGACCTTGAAGCAAGTTACCGTAGAAGCAAAGACAGATTCTTGATCCAAATGGACGAAAAGGTTAGTTCTAGGATACTATCATCTATATAGAACAACATTTACTGGTAAATGAACACAATGATCTTCTAGCTTCACTTTCTTAGAATCCCAAACTTGGTTATGAGTTCTTTTGAAGCGATCATCTGATAAATTCTTCACGTACTGATTCTATTCTTTGTAAATGTACATCTGTTTGCCCAAAAAGTAGTAAATTCCATTGTTGAAGCGTGTTTTTCTTTCTTTCTCGTTGATGATGATATGTAAGAGTGTACCAAGAAAATGTATTGTGTTTCTTTCTTAACCGGATGGTTTGAGTCGGTTGGGTAATTTAGAGCTAGTTTGGTTTTTGTTTATTGAAGCTATTGAGCTTTGTACTGGCCTTCCTCTGCTGTCAATCAAAGCAAATTATAGTGCACTTGTAAACATTATTATTTCAACCTCGATTGGGTAGTTAAAAAAAAGGTTAGAACTTATTACTTCTTAGCCTTTTGTTATCTTATTAGTGGTATAGATCGTGAGCTTTTACTAGATTTTTGAAAAGATGATTCTTTGTTAATCAAAGTGAAATGAGATTTGGTATACTGTTCTTGCATCATTCGTTCTTCTGATGTAATGAGATCCAATACGTCTCTTACTGCATTCACAATTGACAGGGATCATCACACTTGCATTGATTGATACCTTTTTCTATTTTTGTTTTCAGCTACTGTTCTTCTCTTCACCATTCCTGTGGTTTACGAAAAGTACGAGGATAAAGTAGATGCCTTTGGCAGGAAAGCGATGAAGGAGATGAACTGGATGAGAAGGTTTTGAGTAAGATCATGAGCAAGATTCCAAGAGGAGCTCTGAACAAGAAGGATTAAGAAAATGTAATGATGCTTCAAAACATGTTTTGTTAGAAAGCTGTTGGTTAATAAACCCCCTTTTGTATCTTATTATCTTTAGTTAATTTGGGTTTTAACCAAAGATTTAGTATGTATCTAATTTGATTTTATTTCTTTTTTTTATATATAAAAAATTAATATCACCATTAAAAATACAAAAATTATAAAATCCTTAACAAGTTTCAAAGATTAAAAAACTATTAAACTTAATACTAAACTAATCTTAATGATACCCAAATGGTATCACCATTAATGATGATGCTGCTAATGCATCATTAATGAGAAAGGTTACAAACTTGTGATAATATCAACCTCTTTTGAATCCATAAGATAACTCACATAACTTGTGGTATTTTCTAAAATCAAACAAATAAAAACGGTAACAAACCTTTTTTTTTTTTGTATCTGGACATGCATAAATCGCTACAGTATTCACTCCGCAGATATGTATCTCCCTTGGCAGTAGCAAGGCGGAAAAGCGATTTCATGAGATGGTAAACTACTTATGCATAGGTACTACATAAACAGAGAGGTATCTGTATTGTTTTGGTACATAACATGATGGGACATTTTGTATGATTGATTCCCCATTGCGTATAGGTATTTGTAGAAATTGGCTTCTCATCTAAGGCTTAAAGCCGGCCATGCGCCAGGAGATGGCAGAGCAGGGCGGATCACAGGGACCCTTCTTACCTCAGTGAACACTTCATTGAGTCGAGCTGCCTGACTCATCACCCGTGACACCTTCTGCACAGATCATAGACAACCCAAGACGTGATAGTGATAGAAGAAAATTCCATCAAAGGAAAGAACATGCGAATGAGCTATAGGAAAATGTCAAATCTCAGTGTTTGGTGTGCAGGTGATGCCTAAGCACTTTTAGTTCTTAACTAGAACAAATTGCAAGACCAATCTATCCTTGAGTTTAGCCAGGACAGGACAATCAACGGTAAAAACCAAACTTGAAATTCTACCAAAATATATGTATTTGGTGACCTGCAACAAGTTTCCCTTGAAATCAGGCCAAAAAATATCTCCTATCATCCACAATGACGACTCTATGCTTATCCGCCACAACAAGATCAAGTGTATTTTTCGTTTCCTAAGTATGCTTTTACTCGATCAATCAAAATCAAGTTTATTCTGTATTGACGCTACATCGAGTAAACCTAACTCCTAAAACGAACCTATCGAGACTAGCTTACCAACTTCAATGCAAAAAGATAACGCAAAAGTTCTATGTGAATATAGTGTACCTTTTCATCGATTGTAACTCTAAGATTGAACCTTTGAGCTTTCTTTTTCATATTGTACAGCCTGCGACCCAAGAGAACAAAACCCATCACAGCTGCAGCCATAGAGACAGACCAAACAGGACCAATCCTAAATGCAGAGTACTTGAGAAGCACAAATGGCATCTTCCACCACACAGTCTCTCTACTTTTACTCTCTTCACCACAATTTACAATATTCTCTCCACTTCCCTGAGAGTCCTCAGTAGTAGATGCAACAACTCCATCATCAGAAGCAATCTCCTCTTCATCATTCACAACCCCAGAATCTCCAGAAACCTGTTCATTTCCCTCAGAATCAGAGAAACACTTGCTCGAATCCTCAATAGGTTCTTCGAGGACGTCTGATTCGGACAAACACTTGCTTGCATCCTCAATTCCACCAACTAGTTCAGCAACAGCCTCGATCTCGGGGTGCTTCTCATCAAAATCACTCTCCCTGACCTCACCACCATCGCCAGAAATTTCAGTCCCACCAGAGAAATCATTAAACCCTGATTCATTTCTGACACCATCATCGTCCGATCGATAAACATCACTCGAACCGATCCGGAAAGAATCACCGTTTTCGCTCCGATCAGTGGTCTCACCAGATGCTTCGATGACAGAGAAATGATCAGAGAGAATCAAACCGTTGTCGATTACGCTTGAACTCTCCGATATCTTGTCCGATGTGATTGAATCAGTTGATTCGGTGTCGGAGCCATGAACCATCTCCCAATCCCCATCCATGATAATCGATCGAAGATTCCAGACAATAATCAGAAGAAGAACCCTAATGAATTGAAACCCCCAAATTTTCTGAAATTATATTACGGTGGATCAGAAACAGCCTAACCAAAAGGTTCTTCTTCTTATCCACTTGCTATGAGTGGTTACGTGGAGGTATGCAATTGGCTACGTGTCACGTTGAGTGTCTTAAGTCTCAACTAGATTCGCGACACGGCATTAAGTAAGGTAGGGTGACAAGTATGGTATTAATTCTGGCTTTGTCATTTTTATCATTTAACACCGAGTCAAAAAAACAAAAAAAATTTGGGTCTACCATCAATTAAAAGTTTAAAACTCAAAATATTTGTAAATCACAAATATGAATTATAATTTCCAAAATAACAAAAAAATATTCTCGATAGCAAAATGCCAATACACTTTATAAATACTCCGATTTTTCTTGACATGTAAACATTTAAAATTTTCAATATCGCATTCTATTAAAGAATATTAATTCTATAAATAAAATGTTATGAAACAAAAAAAATTATAAATATTTTATAGAAATTTAGTGATTGTGGTCTAGAAATTGGGATCTTGGGGGCCAAAATTTTGTAATTAATCGTCTTCCGAATTCAATCTATTTTTTGGAAATTTACTTATATCAACTAAGTCGGTTGGCTTTTGGATATAAACATAAATAATTTACATGATAGAGTCTATCCAAAGAGTCACCCTCATACTAAGATTGTATGAACCTTAAGTTTGAAATATTTGAATTATCTAAAAAAAAAAAAAAATCCTCACTTATACATAAAACTAAATAAAATTCAAAAAAACAAAATCAGTTTGCAATTTCATAAAAGTGAAGGTGTAGGAGTAGGATTCTAGAACTTAGACAATTTCAGTCATGCATTTTAGTAGCAAAAGAAATTTGGGGAAAATTATAAAAATGCCATTTTTATGTGCAAATTTGCAAAAATACCACTTAGAGGTGTTCATTTGCAAAAATGTCAATAATTATAGATTTTTAAACAATGTTTGACCCCTAAACCCCTCTAAACCCTCATAATTAAACCCCAATAGAACATAATTAACCCAAACATAAATAATATAAAGAAAAAATAATTTTGAGGCATTTTTGAAAAGATTTCAAAAGTGTGGCATTTTTTGTAAAGTGACACTTGAAAAATGACATTTTGTAAACGTTCTCAAGACATTAGAGTTCAAAAAAAACTATCTTTCTTTTGATTTTTTTTTCGTTTGTAACATATCATTAGAATAAACTAAATATTACAAAGAGGTTTGTTATATTACATTTTTTCTATTAAAGTATTTTTTCCCGAAAAGACATAGCACTAAAATGCATTAATAACCATAAAATGATTTATTCTCGAAAAAACACAACCATATAATGCATTATATTTATAAATGGTTTTTTTTTTAAAATATGCAACTTTATAATGTATTAATGACCATAAAATGTTTTTTTTACGAAGAGATGCAACCATATGAAACATAATAATAATAAAAAGTTTTTTGAAAAAATGTAATTTTACACAGACCAATTTTTTCAAAAGACGGAATCCAACAATTCATTAATAACAATTAAACAAAATGTTTAGAAAAGATGCAATTGTAAGATGAATTAATAATAACAAAACAATAATTATTTAGAAATACAACCTTAGAATGCATTGATAACCATAAAACGAGTTTTTCGAAAAGAAACAATCTTAAAAGACATTAATAACTAAAAATATTTTTTTTGAAAAGACACAAACCTAAGAGACACTAATAACCATAAAACAATTTTTTTAGAAGACGGAACCCTAACATTAATAATCTAGAATATAAACTATCAAAATGTTTCGAGAAGATACATCTTTACATAAACCAATTTTTTTCCAAAATGACGCAATCCTAGGATGCTTTAATAACCATAAAACCTAATTTCTAAAAAAACGTAACCCTAGGATGTATTAATAACCACTAAATGGTCTTTACTTAGAAGACGCAATCAAATCATGTATTAATAATTATAAAACGGTTTCTTTAGAAAGCCACAGTTCTCAAGGACATTGCTAACCATAAAAAATTTAAAAGACGTAACGCTTAGAGATTAATAACCAAAAATCATTTTTTTCAAAGACCAATCCTAAGAAATATTAATAACCGTAAAACAATTTTTTTTTAAAAGACGCAACCTAAGGACACTAATAACCATAATTTTTTTTTTTAAATGTTTAACCCGAAAAGAAATATTTTTCTGGAAAGACACAACTCTAACGTTAATAACCATAAAACGGTTATTTTTTAAAAGAAACAACCCTAAAATATATTTTCCAGGATTGTAATTATTGATAGACGTGATCCTTCAAAAAAATTTATAGTATTATTATTTAAATAAAGAAACAAAATATTATGAGACTGTAAAATAATTTTGATGTTACATCATGTTTTGAGTGAATTTTAAAGTTAGTAATCATAAATGATAAAGCGTTCAGCGAAACAAATATATAGAGTTTGAAAAACACAAATCTATATAACAGTGTTTTTTGAAAAGATGCAACTAAAGAGTTAAAAAACCATAAAAAGTTTTTTTCGAAATAGCGCAATCCTAAAAGACACTAATAACCGTAAATGGAATATCTTGAAAAGATGCAACCCTAACATTAAAAACCATAAATATATGTCAAACGGTCTTTTTTCGAAAAAATGCAACCCTTGAAAATAACCATAAAGTGGTTATACTGAAAATACGCAATTTTTGGAAATCGATTTCTTTTTGAAAGGACACATCCACGAAACAGTTATATTGAAAATGCGGTGCCCATGGAAATAACGATAAAGTGGTTATATTGAAAAATGCAATCTTTGAAATAACCATAAAAATATTATTTTTGAAAAACACAACCATAAAGCGGTTATCTACATATTAAATGCAATTTTTGAAAATAATTAGAAAGCGGTTATATAAAAAAGACGCAACTCTTGGAAATAACCATAAAACAGTTTTTTCCTAAAGGACACATTCTTAAATAACCATAAAACGGTTATATAAAAAAAGGCAACTTTTGATAAAGAGATTATATAAAAAAACATAACTCTTAAAAATAATTATAAAGCGGTTCTATTGAGTAAACACAATCTTTCAAAATAACCAATAAACGGTTTTTTTCGAAAAGACGCAATTTTTTGAAATAACTATAAAGTGGTTATTTTTGAAAATACACAACCATAAAGCGGTTATCTATATAGTAGATGTAACCTTTGGAAATAACCATTATATGGTTATATCGAGAAAAATGCAATTTAAAAAAAACGTACGGTTATATCAAAAACACGCAACCCTTGGAAATAACCATTAAACGGTTATTTCCGAAAGACACAACCTTAAATAACCATAAAACAATTATATCGAAAATGCAACCCTTGACCCACAAAAAAATGTTTTTCCTTCCTCACTCATTTCACGGATTGGAACCATAGCTATTCGTCTAACCAATAGAACAATTCATGGATTTTTACGCC